GTGTGTCTTTGAGGCAGCCACCAAATTACTGGAGCTGCAAACTGAGTAGATCTTCCTGTTCCTATAGCACACACCCCCTGTTGACATCAAAAATATAATTCAGAACAGAACAGCGTGCACTGGATAGAGCAGATAAGTATTCTTTTATTTAAAAAATTGTATAACAATCTGCTTAGAAACTTGGCTTGGACCGGAGCATGAAACCACCTTCAGCGAAAAACGAGGTCATAGTAACCGCTGCTACATCGACTGTGGTTTTTGGCATCCAGCATCAGGAGAGGAAAAGAGCACAAGATGAGAGATATCCAGAAGGAACTCTGATTAACCCCTAAGGTGAAGTACTACAAATCATTCACAGAAATGACATGAAGCAAGGGCCCAGGTTTCATCAGAGTGCAGGGATGAGGTGCATAACAAATTTAAATAGAGGAATGACAATGGATGATGGCACCAATAATAATGCTCCAAGCATCAAGGAACTGGAGCAAGGCACAGGCTGACAATGAGGCTGATATCCTACATTCTAAGCTCCAAGGATCAGGGCCCTCCTATCCCTCTTTTATTGAACTGTATTGTCTCCCGTTATATTGTAAAGCGCTGAGCAAACTGTTAGAGCTATATAAATCCTGTATAATAATAATAAACAGACTGGAGCCGTCAGCCACTAAAACCACATGAGAACAGCCGAATGTAAACAAATAGCTGTCAAAAGAGCTAGCGGCTCTGATCCAGCAGGCGGCTGCTGGGGATCTCAGTGGAGAGAGAAGAGAAATAGGCTGACATTAAAAAAGCTCTGCTGGTGCTGTCTAAATATTAGCACCATTTGCAACATGGTTTAATACCCTGAACTAAACAATTGTATGTAAAAGCATCTTTTATCTGATTTTTTGATAAAAAGTTTTTTTTTTTTTAATTTACACCAGTGGTCTCCAAACTCCGGCCCTTAGCTTGCTTTTATTTAGTCCTTGGGGAACTATTCCTCCCACTGACACCAATGATGGGGCACTATTCCTCCCACTGATACCAATGATGGGGCACTATTCCTCCCACTGATACCAATGATGGGGCACTATTCCTCCCACTGATACCAATGAAGGAACACTATTCCTCCCACTGATACCAATGATGGGGCACTATTCCTTTCACTAATACCATGGACACTATTCCTCCCACTGACACCAATGATGGGGCACAATTTCTCCCACTAATACCAATGATGGGGCACTATTTCCTCTTAATGACACCAATGATGGGCATTAGTCCTCCTACTAACACCAAAGATGGGGCACAATTTCTCCCACTAATACCAATGATGGGGCACTATTCCTCTTAATGACACCAATGATGAGGCATTAGTCCTCCTACTAACACCAACGATGGGGCACAACTCCACCTACTTACCACAGCGCTTTATAATATCTTTATTCCCAGTGACCATCAAGCCTGAGGCATTCCTGTTTATTCCACTAACAATGGGGAATTTTCTACTCCCACTGGGCCCCCATAAAGTCTGAAGGACAAACCAGTCCTGTGTTATGAACAGTTGAAGACCCCTGGTCTAAAACATCTAGTTTTTTTGCATTATGTATTCAGTTATCTGGCCTTGGGATACATGCAGAGCTTGCAACGATTCACAGTTGTATGCTTGTTTACCAGTGATATACAATACATCTGAAGATTCACTTGACAAACTTTGCACACTCTTCATTTCTACAGTCTGTCACTGCCCTGCCTCCTGCCTGTTCCTTGAGAATTAGTGTACAACACTACACTGAGGACACCCACCCTTAGCTGTAAGCTGCCTCTAAGACTACATAAGCACCGCTTTCTCCCACTCATCAACCTAAAGAAGGGACTCCCATTGCAATCCTAATACTATACATTTCAGATGAAGTAGAAACTCAAAAAATAAAGACAGCTGATGTAAGTACACCGACATAATTTAAAAATGGGTTCATTTCTTTAATAAGTGTTTTTAACCACTTTCCCTCCAAAGGATTTACCCCCCTTCCTGATCCTGCAACTTTTTGTAATACGGCGGTGCGTTACTTTGACAGATAAGACCATGCAACGCTGCACCCAAATTAAATGTATACTTTTTTCACACAAATAGGCTTTCTTTCGGTGGTACAGTTGCAAGATAAAGTATGTGAACCCCCATTACGTTTTTTGCATGAATTGGGGCATAAAATGTGCTATCATCTAAATCACAACAATAGAAGAACACAGTCTGCTGAACATAATACTACACAAACATTAGAGCCATGGTTTTAATTTGCACATAACATGTAAACATTCACAGTGCAGGGAGGAAAAAGTATGTATCTGCCCTTGATACTTAATGACTTGAACTAATTGGAGCCAGGAGTGTGCCAACCTTGACTCCAACAGTGTGAATATTGGATGTGTTGCTGACAGCTGTCCTGCCCTTAAAAAACACACACCTGTTTTGGGTTTACTGGTTTCAAGAAGCACTGTCTGATGTGAACCATGCCTCGCAGAAAAAAGCTCTCTGACCTACAATCAAGAATTGTTGACTTGCATGAAGCTGAAAGGTTACAAAAGTAATCTCCAAAAGCCTTGATGTTCATAGTGTCCACAGTAAGACACTGTCTACAATGAGGAAGTTTAGCACTGTTGCTACTCTCCCTAGGCGTGGTCATCTGCCTGTAAAAATGACTGCAAGAGCACAGCGCTGCTGCATGAGTAAAGAAGAATCCCAGAGTGTCAGCTAAAGACCTACAAATCTCTGGCACATGCTAACATTTTTGTTGACACACTACATAAGGAAAACATTAAACAAGAATGGAGTACAAGACACCACGGAGGAAGCCATTGCTGTCCAAAAAGAATATTGCAGTACGTTTGAAGTTTCAAAAGAGCACCTCCACAGCACTACTGGCAAAATATACTGTGGACAGATGAAACCAAGATTGAGTTGTTTGGGAAGAACACACAACACTGGAGAAAAAAAGGCAAGCACACCAACATCAAAACCTCATCCCCACTGTAAAACATGGCGGAGGAGCATCATGGTTTGGGGCTGCTTTGCTGCCTCAGGGCCTGGAATTGTTGTCATTGATGGGAAAAATGAATTCCAGAGTTTATCAAGACATTTTGCAGGAAAACGTACGACCATCTGTCCGCCAACTTCCGCAGAGGAATGCAACAGACAATGACCCAAAGCATACAAGTAATTCAACAAAACAATGACTGCAACAGCACAGAATACGCCTTCTGGAGTGGCCCATCAGAGTCCTTCATTGAAAAATGCTGTGGCATGACCTTAAGAGAGTGATTCACACCCACTTTCTACACTGAAACAGTTTTGTGAAGAGGATTTGACTCCAGATCGTTGTGCAGGTCTGATCTGCAACTACAGGAAACGTTTGGTTAGGTTATTGCTGCCAAAAGGAGGGTCAACAGTTATTAAGTCCAAAGGTTCACATACTTTTTCCTTGCACTGTGATGTTTACATTGCTATGTGCAATTAAACCTGGCAAATTAATGTTTTTGTATATAATGTATACTGTTTTTTCACACAAATAGAGCTTTCTTTCGGTGTTCACATACTTTTTCCTTGCAACTGTATGTGATTGCCTCTGCGTTTTTTCTTTTTTGCGCTATAAACAAAAAAAAGACAAAAGAATTTGGGGAAAATGGAGGGACTGTATAGAAAAATGGTTGCAGTTCCTAAAATTTGTACTTGATCTTTATGTTCAACCTCTTGAATTAAAGCTGAAAGTCTGCACTTCAAATTAATTTGGATTGTTTCATTTTAATTTATTCTGGTGGCATAGAGAGCCAAAAGTATGAAAAATGTGCCTGTGTCCAAATATATATGGACCTAGCTGCATAGTCAACCCAGGTCCGGTTACTAGGGTTGCACCGATACCAGAATCAGCGAGTACGAGTAGCGATACTTGCACTCAAGTACTCGCCAATACCGATTACAGATACCTTTGTGATGCAATTTGAGCTATATAAAATTAATGGTTCAAATCACACTGCACCTGCAGGGAAACTGCATGTGATTTGGATGGGAATCGTACCGCACTCCTGTTCAAATCACATGTGATTCTTTTCATTTGGGATTCAAAATGCAATTAATTTTGTATGAGGTCAAATTGCAGAGCAAAAGGTATGGGTTGCAGGTATCAGAGCATTTGCACGAGTACAAATGCTTAGTGTCGGCATCGGTGTCCGTGCAACCCTACCGGGTACCTTTCTGCTGTGTGATAAGGGTCCTAGAGTGACCTTCAGACACTGGCAAAAAAAAAAAAAAAATACCTTCCTGTATGTGAGAGGTTATGTAGGAGGGGACTTCTTGTCTTTTTTGCCAGTGTCCAATCACCTGTAGGTGGCACATAACCCTATCGAGAAGGATTAATAAAGTTGCTCTATGTCCCATGATGTACAAAAAAAAAAAAGAAAAGAAAAGTGTTTTAAGGGAAAGCAAAATCAACCTTCAGTATATGTGACCTGATACCAGATGAGAGCTGTCGACATTTTTAACATTAAAAGGTGTTTATGTGTACTATTCAGTGTGTTCTGCTTGCTCTGTCTTTTACTTTTAGTTACATTGTATTGTCTTTAGATGTAGAATCTAACTGAATGGCACTTAGGGGCATATTTAAAAAGCAGCGAATGTGACTTTCACTGGTGGTTACTCAATCACTATAATTTAAAACACACACACCAGGAAAATGTTTGGTAAATGTCAGATTCACTGCTTTATTAATATACCTCTTAGTTTACGAACACTGTGTATAAATAAAATACTTTTCAGCAGTTTTCCTTACTATGATGTATATCAAGTTGCTGATCTCCTGAGGCCTCTATGCAGGCACTTCATGTCCACATGTGCTCCAGTGACGGCTGCATGGCATTTCTTAGGGCTTGTTTCTTTATGGTTACAATAGTGCAGCATGTGTGTCAGTAAAGCCACATAGCTTTTATCTGTCTGACAGGATGACAACACAAGAGAACAATTGGGACACAGGTACAGTAATGTCCAGGGGCGGACTGACAACTCATGGGGCCCCCGAGCAATAGGGGATCATGGGGCCCCTGTGTCCTTGCCCAAACTCAAAAAAGCCTATGAAAAAGGTACCAGGGGCATCTCATGGGGCCCCCTACTGACCCCGGGCCCTCGGGCAGTGCCAGAGTTTCCAAATGGTCAGTCCGCCCCTGGTAATGTCACTATAAACCAAGAAGTGCCTGAAAAAGGACCTTCATGGCAGGATCAAAAGGATTATTCTTATTAAAGCTGCATATTTTAAAATATATATATTGAACAATATATTTAAAATTACATTAACTTTAAACGTACATGAGATTTTAGTAGTTTGACTATGTTTCACGTTACATCCATATCTAAGGTATAACATGAACCCTGACAATCACTCTGCCTCGGTTTTGAACAACCATTGCAATAAAATATCAGTCACATAGTGCATTGTTTTTAATGCGAGACATGATTCAGAGTTGTATTGTGTCAAAGGGCAGTAAAGCACAGCAGAACCTGCATATATATGTGTAGCAGGACACACGGCTTTCCCTGAGGTACCTATAAAATTATATGTCGCACATAATGATGGGGACTTTTTAAAAACTTATAAGTGATAATAAAGGCTCAATTAAAAAAACAACATACATGTCATACTTACCTGCTCTGTGCAATGCTTTTGCACAGCGCAGCCCTGATCCCTCTTCTGGGGCTCCTGACCCCTCCCCTTCCTGCTGAGTGCCTGCAGTTTGCTCTGGGGGCACTTGTGTGTGCTCACTCCCGTGTCTATGGGACACACACAGAGCAGGCCCTGATTCCTGCTCCCTCCTTGGTGGCTGTGATTGACAGCAGCGGGAGCGAATGAGGAGGGAGACATCCAAGAGAGCTGCTTCTCTCATGCACGACACTGGATTGTGATCAGCTTCAAGTAAGTACTGATTGGGGGGGGGGGGGGCTAAGGAGGAAGCTGCACACTGAAGGTTTTTTACCTTCATGCATTCTATAAAACCTTCATCATTCTGAACCACTTTAAGTGCTTGTCCAGACAAGCTTTGGTCTCTGAAGAGTGATTCACATTTGGATTGCTCTTCAGGAAGCATTTGATTTTAACCCCTTTGACTACCACATTAGCACTTGCAAGGTGCTTAGAGAACACTGCTACGCCAGCCGCAAGAGACAGGGAGTATAATTTCTGCCCAGGCATGTGTACACCCCCAGCTGCTATCTCTGCAGCTAAAGGGGGTTTGCAGGTGTGTGTGTGCATGCGCCTCAAAAGCGCATCTCAGACACAGGTTTTTATTGCCTCTCAACTACTGGTGTGAAAGAGCCCTTACATACAATGATCACATCATTACAGTACACTGATCTTTTTAACATGTATTATACACATTATATTTTCCTTAGATTTCTTTGAACCAATGATACTCCTAAATTCATTTTAAAAACTGCTGCATGATTTAAGATAGCCTCTCTCAACCTTTTTACCCAGGAGGAACCATTAAAATGATTTTCAGGTGTCCAGAAATCCCTGCTATGTTTAGTCCATCAGGGGCCAAAAGTAAAATGCTCCTTACATTGGTAACAAGTGGAAAAACTGCTGAAAAGATCATTGGTATCATGCTATTGGGTCTGTCAAGTGGCAATGGACCTGAAACTATGGAGACACCATCAGGTAGAACAGTTTAAAGAACACCTAGCAGCTTCTGGAGGAACCCTAGGATTTCAGAGAACCCTGGCTGAGAATGGCTGATTTATGAATTAGTATGCAGAGTGATAGATACTAGTACTGCAGGCATTGAAATGTATTAAATGCAGAATCACTAAAGACCACCGGGTGGCACTACAGACCACACAATTGCAACTTTATCCGAAAACTTCCAAACCAACATAGGTGTCCGTTTATGAGACAGAGAATAGCTGTGATTCAGAGGATTGCAGCAATTCTCTGGTCATTCACAGTTTATGACACTCAGGAGATCAGCGGAGAACTGTTCAGCCCTTCACTGGAGATTTGTGTTCTCCCTCCAGATTCTCCGGCCCAGAGCTGGAGAATCGGAGGGACCGCAAACTAAGCAGAGATAATTTACCTCTGCTTAGTAAACTGATCTTTTACTGTAATCTCGCGAGATTATAGTAAAAACAGCCGTTTTCCACCGTTTGTAGACCGTTCTCCCTTCGTTCAAAGAACTGATCTACACTGCTTCAGAAACGGCATTCACAGGAGAACTGCGTTCTCCGAGAATTCCGGAGAACTGAGCAGCGATCATTTACCGCTGGTTCATAAACAGACACCATAATTCTGTAAAGTTTATGACCCCCAACACCAACAGACAGTGCCCGATTTATAAGGGGCACTACTGCAGGCCTCCTACCAGAAGGGGCTCCATCTAGAATACAGTCATTAAAAGGGCGTTTTTAATTAACCACTTTAGCTCCAGAGGATTTACCCCCCTTAATGACCAGGCCTCTTTTTGCTACTCGGTGCTGCACTAATTCAACTGATAATTGCGCGGTCATGCAATGCTGCACCCAACCGAAATTTACGTCCTTTTTTTCACACAAATAGAGCTTTCTTTCGGTGTAATTTGATCACCTGTGCGCTTTTTATTTTTCATGCTATAAACAAAAAAGGCCAAAAATTTTGAAGAAAAACAATATTTTTTACTTTCAGCTATAAAAAATATATAGTAAACTCAAAGTTAGTTATAAATTTAGGCCAAAATGTATTCTGCTCCATGTTTTTGGTAAAAAAGAAATCCCAGTAAGTGTATATTGATTGCTTTGTGTGAAAGTTATAGCGTCTACAAACTATGGTATAAATACTGCAATTTACGCCATTTTTCTGCTATACAGCGCTGCGCTAGTTTAACGGACAATTGCACGGTCATGCAATACGGTACATAAATGAAATTTACATCCTTTTTTTCCCCACAAATTGAGCTTTCTTTCGGTGGTATTTGATCGCCTGTGCGGTTTTTATTTTTTGCGCTATAAAAAAAAGGCTGACAATTTTGAGGAAAATAAAAACAATATTTTGGATTTTTTGCTATAAAACATGTCCAGTAAAAAAAAAATGCAAAAATCAAATTTAGTCATAAATTTCTGCCAAAATGCATTCTGCGACATGTCTTTGCTACAAAAAAACCCAATACGTGTAAATTAATTGGTTTACGTGAAAGTTATAGCGTTTACAAATGGCGGGAAAGATACTGGAATTTTAAATTTTTATTTATACTAATAATGGCGCCGATCAGCGACTTTTGGCGGCAATCAGCGACATATGGCAGCGACTTATGGCAGGACTGCGGAACAGCGTCGGACATTTTGACACTGGGGGGGGAACTGACTTGGGGTCACTGACATCCCCAGTGACACCAATACAGTGATCAGTGAAAAAAAAAACCACTGAAACTGTACTAATGTCACTGGGGAGGAAGGGGTTAACATTTTTAGAATTTGCAGTGTAAGGGGAGTGTTTTACTAGGGGGTGGGGGTGTGTACTGGAAGGGGGAGGGAGGGGGGAGCTGATCGAGGGAGAGAAACTCTGCAGCTTCTCACAAGCTGTCAGAGAACTGACACAGAACAGGGCTGTGTGTAAACAATGCAGCCCTGCTCTGTGTTAGTGATCACCGGCAATCGCGGGGAAAACGACCAGTAAAAACCGGCCGTGACCCGTCGGCTGACACCCGCTGCTGACACCCGCGGGACAGGTAGGGCGGGGCGCGCGCCCCCTACCTGTTTTAGAAGACAGCCGTTTTAAAACGTGCTTTTGCCTACGAGCACCGCCCTGCCACCGTTTATATGCGGTGGCTGGGCGGCAAGTGGTTAAAATGTATCTTGGGAATCAATGTTTTTCCTGCAACCAACTCTATCAGCTTGTTCACACCACCAAGCTGCACTGATTGCCACGGTGCCAATCTGCACGGTTTACCTTTTTTTGTTCCACAGAACTTTTTTGAAATATCATAAATCTCCTAGATTGTAAGCTCCAAGGATCAGGGCCCTCCTAACCCTCTTGTATTGAACTGTATTGTTGCTGTATTGTCTCCCGTTATATTGTAAAGCGCTGAGCAAACTGTTGGCGCTATATAAATCCTGTATAATAATAATAAGTAATTTTTCAATAGGGTTCCATTCACTGCAATGATGTTTGCAATGCAGCTCGCTATGCTGAAAAGAAACACTGCATGCCAACACAGCACATCATAGGGAAAAAAAAGGCATTCTGACATGTCTATATGTTGGGGCGGCATTGGAAATAGGGGCCAGCGCAGCCCCAAAGCACATAGTGTGAACAGTTACTAAAAGTTTATACTCTGGCATATTGTATCAATTTTAAAGTGGCTGTAAATCCTGACTGGCCTCAGGTGATATACAGAGATGAAACAAAGCCTCCTACATAAGTTGTACCTGTTTATTTGCAGTATTCTCTTCTGTGTATCTGTTCAAAGTCCAGAATGTATAAAGCTTTCCTGAGATTTCAGAAAAAAGGGGGTGGAGAACTGACATTACACACTGCAGATCTCAGTGTGGAGAGATCTTAGAGCCAATTGGAGGGAAGAGACACACCCACTTCACACAGCTCACAGGAACAGAGCTGAGGCTGTCAATCTGCTGGAGGTCCCTTTCCTGTAATGTTTTTTTTTTGTCTTAGTGTCAAGAAAACTTGTCAGTAGTGACTTATGTTTATAGCAGAGGAACAAATCAGCAGACAGAAATGACACTTAGTGCTCTTAATTGAGACAAGTACTCATTATAGAGGGATGTGCTTTGTTCACAGTTCATGTCTGAGGTTTACAACCATGTTAAAGCTATGATACACAGAATATAACTGGATACTAACATTTACAGGTAAAGTTGATCCAGGGAATATCCGATTGTCTCTCGGGGGATCAGAAAGGAATTTTTTTCCCTACAGGAACAAATTGGATCGTGCTTTGCTGGGGTTTTTTTTTGCCTTCCTCTGGATCAACTGTGGGTGTGGGATTATAACTTTTTTTTTTTAATGGTTGAACTGGATGGACTTTTGTCTTTTTTCAGCCAGGCTAACTATGTAACTATGATACTTCATTAAAATATACTGGACTTGTTTATATTATGACCAGTGGAATGATTGTATTAGGAAATCACTTTTGTTTATGTTTGGATTGTAATTACAACATATGCTTGCAATAAAGATCTGATAATGTAAAAAATGTGCCATCG